CCTCTAGAACTCATGGAATACTTCTACTCCTTGACTACAAGTGTCTTTCTTGGCTGCCTCTCAGTGCTTGCTGGGTGCTCCTCCTCCCTCCAGCCCCTGAGTGCTACTCTCGGGCTCCTAGAGAGCACGTGCTAGGACCGTTCAGGACGGCTGGGTCACAGTGGATACAGAGAGAGTCCGTAGACTCTAGACAGCCCTGTCGCACAGAGTAGCCACGAGCCACATGTGGCAAGTCCAAACTGAGAAAGAGATTTGTAAAGCACAACCCCGTTACAGAAACATATATCCCACAGGTCCTGACTCCCCGGGGGCCAGCACAGAGCAGGGGTTCAGAGCACGGACAGAGAGCAGGATGCCTGGGCCCCATCACAGCTCCATCACACCCGACTATGTGACCAAGCAAAGTAAACTATACCTCTCTGTGCCTCAGGCTCCTCATCTATAAAATCAGGATAACAGCAGTGCAGACGTCATCAGGGTTAAATGGATTAATATTTGAAAAGAGCTCAAAACTATTTTGAAAGTGCTATTGATTAAGTTTTTTTAAAAAAAAGAAAAGAAAAAGCAATGACCGCTTGCTAGGCCTAGGCTCTGGCTCCATTTGTCCATGTGGCTCATTCTGAGCTGCCCACTGAGTGACAATGGGAAATAACTGCCACACTGTCGCCCACACGCAGGACAGAGCCTGGCGTGGTGACGCGTACTGGATTTCTACAGGGGAGGTCTGAGGGGAGAGTGGGCGGCTGCAAGGACTTCCACAGTCCGTCCCCTCTCTCGGATACCTGGGCCCGAAAGGCATCAGCCCGCTAACTAATCCATCAGCCTCAAACTGCACCATAAACAGAGCGTTCCAGAGCAAAGATGCACCGTGAAACAAAAGGGGGAGACGCACGCCAGTTTTATCCTAGATGTTTAATCAGCGCTTTCTTCTTTAAAGACGTTCCTGTCTCTGGTGTGAGCACCAACTGCAGCGAGGGAACGAGCTGGCCGGAGCCAAGGAAAGACAGAAAGAGGGCAGAACCACAGCCGTCGCTACGGTTCGGAGGGCAGATTCCAGGAAGCCGGGCTCATTCCGGATGGAAGGTCCCCTGGAAGCGGCTTATTTAGTTATTGAGAAACACAGATACTTTAAAACCATTTTGTGGGTGAAATTCGTGGACTCTCCTCTTCAAATGTCCTTTTGTTGATTTTCTGTTATCCGTTATCAGTTGGTTCCTGTTTGCACAAACAAGGTTCCAGCCAAAGCCAAAAACATCTAGTACCGAGGACCCTTCGTACCGCCACGTAGTCCATGGTATGCCGCCCCAGAAATATTTTTTAAACAAGTGTGGCATCTCTACGAGGGGACGGATGGGAACAGTAGGGAGGTAACTGAAAGTCTGGTGACATTCAAGCACGGCAGCATGACCACAAGCCCCTCAAAGGCAGCGACCCAGTTTTGTCTTTGCACTCCCAACACCAAGTCCCATGCCTGGCATACAGCAGGCTCTTAATGTGTGCGCTGAGAGCCTGGGGGCAACCAGAGAAGCAGGGGTGAGAGGAGGCCTTCTGGCTCAGGTACTCAAGGAGGGAACCCCCCTTAGAAAACCACCTGTGCTCACCTCACCAGCGTCTGGTTGTGCAGGTCCCACACAGCGATGTTGCCGTCGCTGCAGCACGAGAAGCAGACCTTGGAGTCGGGGCTGATGGCCAGGGCGTAGCAGGCGGGGGCCGAGGACGTCAGCTCTGCCTTGATGCGCGGGGTAGGGGCCGCCAGGTCCCAAATAGACAGAGTACTGGCTTCCCCTCCCACTATGAGAGTGCAGCCATCAGGGAGCAATTTGCAGGAACGGATGTAGTTATCTCTATTCTGTGAAATAAACATAATTCAATTGCTATAATGCATTATCAAGCAGTAACAATGCCATGTTCTCTAACTGCTATCTTGGATTTTGACTTAAAAAGTGGCATCTCATGGACACAAACAAAGCAAGAATTCTGTAGTAAAGATCGGGATCTGATTGTTCTGTAAACAAAACAAACTCATAGGGTTGCTCAGGCACGTGTGGACACTTTATATAAGTGTTCCTGATGTCCAATCTCCTGTTGAGTAGACGGAACCGAAATGATCAGTAGATGTGAGGTAGGTGTACACGTACTTCTCTATGAAGAAACCACTTTTCAAAGCTACTTTATGAATTTTTGATCTCATCACCCTCCATTATTTACAATTTGGAAACTCAGACCTGCTGCCTATGTTTTAGTTTTCATTACTCTTAACTCTTTTCGTAAAGCTTGTCTTCATTCACCCGATGAATCCCTGTCTAAGAATTTCACAGGGCTGCTTTCTCAAGTTGTAACAACACTGTTGTCATATTCAAGCCTCTCAATCCAAAGGCCAAAAAAATTCATAACAGAGGGCATCTCTCCATCAAAACCAACACATATTAAAAAGAGAGGTGGGACCTGAAACGGTAGGACCTAAAATGACCCTCCTCCCTCGAAAGAAATAACTGCTCTCCTTCAACCCAAACACATACAGCCCAAGTTTTTACAATGCTTTAACCGCGGTCTATCTTTCAAAGATTAGGAAAACTTTAAGCCTGTAATTTCAAAAAAGGTGATGAGTGTGACGAAATACTCCTATTACTACAGAACACGGGGCTATGTGTAAGTTTGTTTAACTACGTTTAAGTTTCATTCATGGAGATATTTTTAAATTATTTGATTAAAGAAATGAACCAATCAGTACCCCAAAAAAGCCTCTACGTCTCAAAAATACCGCCACTGTTTTTGGGAACACTCCCTCCGGAGTCCTCACCACCTGCCTGGCGCACCACTTGCGATAGCAAAGTGCAGGCGGACACCACACCAGGAGCCCAGCAGCCCGGAGTCTGCTTACAGCCAACAGTATGTGGTCTGCAAACCCTGGGGTTAGAGGTCAGAGATCGGAACATGTCCCGACGTGTTCTACGTCCTGAAAAATGCAAAATGGCACTCTCACATCGTGGGCGAGGGTGGATTAGGTGCCTTGGGAGAGCACTCTCGTCACCCCTGTGTTGTTGCCCTGTAATCTATTAACCCTTTCCTGTCGTTAAGGTAATAAAACCCAACCAGCTCTCCCACGTCTCCCTGAAAACACAGACCCTGTTCACAACGGTTTTAATGCCACATTATCAAATGTTTACTATTCAATATTTATCTGAAGGCTGTAGGGAAATTAAAAGTTGAGTGGATGGCAGGGCTCAGAGTCCAGGGCTGGCTGCACTTTCATCCATTAAATGGGAAACCCCCTGTTGAATACACACTCAAACAAGGACAGCTTCTGTAAACTACTGTAAAATAGTTTTTAAAAGAAATCCTTCAACTCTGGGATTTAACCACTGAAATAGCAATAAATGAAACCTTCACATTTCAGGGAGATGGGTGGGGGGAGCTGAATAGCTAACACACAGGAAACGGAATGGCCTTCCATTTCCTCATAATGGGCATAAAACCCAGGCCCGGACAGCTATTTCCTTATTGAGTCTCCAGGGAGAAATTACCCTTGTGCTCTGGTTCCTGTTCACTCACCAGACAGTCGAGCTGCGAGACGGGGCTCTTATTGCCGGGGTGGCTGATGTCCCAGACCTTGACGCAGCCCTTCCCGCCCGTGTACACGTGCCTCGTGGGGTTGCTGATGGTCACCGCGCACACCACCTCCCCGTGGTTCAGGGTGTTGATCTGGCGAGCGTGTCGGGGGATCCCGGGTCCAATGAGGGCGTCGGGGGGGAAAGGGACAGGCTGCATCTGACCGTCTGCAGTAACGTGGAAGGAGTATGCACTTTCGGAGACGGGATGATCCGAGAGAACAGAGAAGGATAGGAGAGAAGACAGAAAAACATTTGTCATAAAGCAATTAGTCAGTACTTCAGCACTCTGCTATGAGAAAGACGAAAAATAGGGAAGTGTCTCTTGTTAGGGTTTCCTTTTAAAATCAATATAATTTGAAGTATTTACTGATGGAACAAATTTAAAATAAATATAGGCACAAGTCTAGAGTATACCAAAAGACACTACATTGAACTATATTTTCTAAATTTTTAAAGATTTTTAAATTGTGCTTATCCATTCCATAAAGCATTCCTTCAAATCTCATTATAAAATACTAAACATGCTTATAAATTAACACAAAATACCTCCTTCCATGTACCTTGTATAATTGTATGATTTCTTAGTAGAATTTAAAATGATTATTATTATTTTTTTTGTGTGTGAGGAGATCAGCCCTGAGCTAACATCTGCCAATTCTTCTCTTTTTGCTGAGGAAGACTGGCCCTGGGCTAACATCCGTGCCCATCTTCCTCTACTTTATTTGGGACGCCGCCACAGCATGGCCTGCCAAGCAGTGCGTCGGTGCGCGCCCAGGATCTGAACTGGAGAACCGCGGGCCGCCACAGCGGAGCACGCGCACTTAACCGCTTGCGCCACCAGGCTGGCCCCCAAAATGATTATTTTTGATGCTTAAGATGAAGCCCTTAAGAACTTGTAATAATTACATACAGTAAACAGTATATTTCAACACTAACAAATAAATCAGCTTTCTAAATGGATCAGTTTAAGGCTTGGACTTAAACACTGTTTTGCATAACCAAGAAAAAATAATAGAAAAGATCCTCTTACATCAGACAGCTTTGTGACAGAGATTTCAAGTTCCTCTTCAACAATCTCCTGTCTGCCTTGCCCACAAAGCCCAGTTTTACGTAAAGCAGCAAAGCCCCCGCTAGAAGACAACTCTGCCCAGCTCCCTTTAGCCAGGTGTGTCCACGTTCTGACCAACGACATGCAGCAGAAGCTGATGGGCGGCACTTAGAGCAAGTTCTTAACTTAAAAGAAAGGGGATCCTAGGGGATACGGAAATTCTCTGTACTTTCTACTCCATTTTGCTGTGAACCTAAAACTGCTCTAAAAATAAGTTGATTAATTAAGGAAGAAAAAGAATTAAAAAGGGGGAGGGGAGACGTGTCTGCCCTCTTCTCTTCCTCCTTCCTGAACTATGAGCAAGATGACTGGAGCTCCAGCAGCACTCTGGGCCACAAAGTGACTGTAAAGATGGAAATCTATTGCTGAGGGGGGGGGACAGAAAGATAGGATGCAGAGGCCCTGGTGACACTATAGGAGAGAGAAACAGACTTACTGTGTTACTTAAGCTATTGTTTTCTTCCCATTACATACAAACAAACCTAATTCTAGTGTACACTTCTCTTTCTACACCAAAATCTTAAAGCATGTTTTTTCTCTAATGATTAATTATTTAAGCTCCAAGCATTAATGTGTTACAGATATTATAAAACACACACAAAGAAAAGACACTTGTGAGGATGGAAGGAACAGAAGTGCTAATATTTCTGCCCTACATCCAAACTGATGGAATTATGTACACGCCACCTGAAGACCACTACTTTCACCTTTTTCTTATCTGAAGCATCACTAGGTGATCTAGAAGCTCAACATTAAATCTTTTCTACACGTCCACATACATAAACAATAAGTGAATTATGCAGAGTTTCCTCGTTCCCATAACCCTCTGGGATAAGCCTGGGCCCTTTCTGGAACTTGTCATTGGCACCTGAACTCCCTTTACAGATCTAAAGACCATGGGTATTAATACAGAACTTAAATTTTCATTTTAATGGTAACCCAAATTTTGTAAAATAACTTAGGAAGCACAAAACTGAAAACTGATACAAGATATCAGGTTTCTTCTAGCCTGCACATAAAACCCACTTACTTCCTTAAGCTTGAAAACAGAATATATACTATTATTTTCCCTCTATAAAAGCAAAATATCAAATACATGAAGACTTTTAAAAGAACTTCCCCTTCCCCCAACCAAAGGACACAATCTTAGATATCTGTTATCTCCTGGCAAACTGGTTCCACGAACTAATATTAAATGGCTGTTTGGCCCAAATCCTTAATGTTACTCTTAATTCGAATAATTGAGCACACATAATGGGAGCCACACAGAATGTCCTGGGAAATAAATATGCATATAAAACAACCATAGCTCACAGCCCTTACATCATCCAACCACTAAATCTCCTATTTTTTTATCCAACAGTATCCTTTGGTGTCCTTAGTAATGTATCCAGTCCACATGATACTTCAATACATGCACATGACAGTTAACTGAACCTATGCTATTGATTATAGGAAATCTGGAGGTGGAATCAAATAGCATTTCATTGCCCTTGAAGATAAGACCACAGAACTGGTCTATTCAGATTCTAGGAGAATTCTTCATGGTCCAGTAGCAAGTTATATGGCCCAGGTATCAGACACCATGACTTGGGTCTGAAAATAAAGAACACATAACCAGGTGAAGCTGGAGAAATGACCAGTGAGTTTTCATAAAATAAAACAATCGAATTGAATATATTCTGTAAGAACAGTAGTTGACGTGGGGAGAGAACTGCCTCTCAAAGCTTTCTGTGCTCTGAGAATAATGGCACTTGTGAAGACTGGTTTCTCTCAGTTTGCCATAAATCAAGGTGGGCAAAGTTTCCACTGGGCCCCCTTTTAGCAATTCCAGATTTTTCCGGGGAAGGAAATTTTATCTTGCTGCAGTTGGAACCCTGCTTATTCTAGAGTTAAATGTTCCAGATTAAAATAGATGCACAAAATACAGGCAGAGAGCTGTAGGCACGTCTTTGGAAGACACCCACCTCTCTCCCAGGTGTCCTCTTCTCTAAACCACACAGGAGGTCTGTGATCATCGTACTGAGGCAATTTAAAATTGATTCACTGTGCAGCAAACTGCTGCCAGAAGCTGTGAACATTCGTCCGTCCCAGGGGAAACCCGTATGGATGTTAACACGTCAGTCACAGGGGGCCTGGAGGAAGCTGGTGCTGCCCGCTGTGCTGGAGAGCCTAATGAAATGAACAAAGCAGAGCGGCGCAAAGGGCTGACGCGTCCCAAAGAGGGCTCAACCGGAGGGAAAACCAGTGGAGCAAACGAGAGTCTGGATTTAGTCATTTACCTACATGAAGTAGAGGAACGTCGTTGAGAAAAGGCCACAGTGATGGCGCATCACGATGAAGTCACAGAGAACTCAGAAGGAAATGTGCCTCCTCTCCTGACTGAGGAACCAGGACAAGTAACATCAACCAGGAAGACGAGTTCACAAACAGAGAGTGAGCACTCACAACTCTCTCAAGTCTGAATTCAGAGACAGGCCACCCATGAAAGAACGCATATGGAATGAATGGATTTATAGAAGTTCAAACACAGGCAGAATTCATCTTTGGCATTAAAAGTGGGAGTGGCGGTTACCCTCGCAAACTGGAAGGGATACAACCGGGCTTCGTGGGCACTCTTGGTGAAAGCCATTGGGGTATACACGTGATTCGTGCACTTTTCCATATGTATGCATCAATTTTAAAAGCTTAAATTTATTTGTTTATTCAAGATAAGGTTGAGAGGAGGGGTCCTGACCAAAGAACACAGGAGTCTGGGGCCACAGCCAGGTTGAGAGCCCAGACTCTGGCGTTAAGGGACCTGAGACACAGAGGCCCCCTCACCGGCCTCACTGACTGGTCTTTCTCACTGGTCTAGCTCCCCATGGCCTAGGGTGTGTCTGTCTCCTGAGCCACAGGATAGAAATAATAATAAAATATTAGGGTCGCAGGGGGAGTTGTAAGGATTAAAAGAGATAAAGCTGCAAAACCCTTAACACCGAGCTCAACATGTGCAGGGGCCTTCAGGAAACAACAGCATCAACATTAAATAGCCACGACTTAAAAAGAGGAAAGTGAGGATCTGCTGAATCAAGGGCCCTTATCTCAAGCAGGGGACAAGCGTGAAGGCCAGGAAAGCGGAAAGGGAGGAAGGTGCAGGGTGGCAGTCAGGAAACCATGGTGTCAGGAGCAGGCAAGGAAAATCAGGAAATCCACAAATCCTAACAGGTGATGGTGGGGAGACAGCACTGGGCAAAGGCGAGAGGAGGACATCTGGATAGGACCATGGGCACACTGCAGGGCAGAAAGAACCAGTCCCTGGAGCCCTCAGGGGCCACACTGCTGGCCCCCACTCCAACCAAGGAAGCCTCCGAGAACTGAGCCCCAGCCCCCACCCAGCTTTCTCAATCAGGCACCTGCAGAGCAGGATCTAATTCTTAACTCGGGTTGTAGAATTGAAAAGAATAAAACCCACTGGACATCACAGACTTAAAAACTGAAGGAAATCAAACATTTGAGCAGGGGACTCCTCATTTCTTGGGCACACGGCAGAGTGAAGAACTCAAAGGAAAGAGTCCCCGCCGGGACCTCGGACTAGAAAACAAGACTGCGTCCCGGGGAAGCAGGTTGTTTTTCCCGAGCAGACTGGCTCCTGTTAATAAAACTATGCTGTGTCCTGCGGCCAAAGGAAAACAGGTGTTTACAGAGTTGTTGGTTTACTGGAAATAGACAGGAACGGCAGTGGCAGGATCCAGTAAACAGTAATGAAGAACCACGGACCCTGGAGACAATGGCTGCGGCCAAGACCCCGCTGCCTGCAGACTCGGCACTCTTGATGTAGAACTTCTTGCTGTATTAACAGGTATCCAAAAATATCTGATCTTGTCAAAACCTTCACTTGCTCTTCAAGCTCTTTAGGGCTCCCAAGCGCTTCACAATCTAGTGTCGATGAGCCTCACTTCATGTCACCTTCCCATATCCTAAACTCCCAGCCACAGGAACAACAGGCCAGTCCCCTAAAATATCACAGGCTGTCACATCTCCAAGTTGTGCACAAACTGCTCCCTCCCGCCTAGGACAGCACCGCCCCCTCCTAAGCTTGGTCACTTCCTCCCTCCCTGGGCCTGCCACAACCTCCCCAGGCAGGGTGATTCTTTTCCAGGATCCTGCTCATCCTGTACATCTCCACTCTGGCATGTATCACACTGTGGGCTACTGCACACATCTGCATTTCTGTCTGTCTCATTCCAGAGTTCAAGGCCAGGAGGGAAGACTTCTCCAGCTAGCATACACACTATTCAGCATACTGAATACTCTGGCCTTCAGTAAATGAGCTGAACACCCCAAGTCATTTATTGCTGCCTAATCACTTATAAATTGAGGCATGAAAGGTTGCCCCGGCGAGGAAAGTCAGCTACAAGAAGGTGGAGAGTCCGCTGACCCCAGGGTTATGCCAGCCAACTTTTCCCAAAGAATTTCCGGCAGTACCAAACATCGGTTAAGAGATGGAATCCACTTTCCCAAGGCGGGGAAGCAGGAGCTACAGAGCTGATGTGGACCAAAACAAAAGGCAAGGAAAGCAACTACAGTAAAGGATGGATACCCACAGTCCTTCCCTACGCCCGCAACCCCCGTGGATGCGGGGCCCTCCAGAGCGAGCTGTAGCAGAAGCAGCCACAGGTCACAGGCGACAAGCCCGATCCTGTGTCTGGCCAATGAAGAGCAGCAAGTCAAGTAAAAGAAGTGAGGAGACACAGGTCGGAGTTTCAGTTTAGTCACCAGTAAGATGTGGGGACCACATGTAACTCTTTTGGGCCTCGCTGCCCTACTTTTACAATGTGCCCTATACACGACTGCTGAGGTAAATGAAGTGACGTGGGAAAGTACTTCCAGAAAAGTAGGAAGCACAGTATAGATTCAACCTTGGGTTCCCATGTCACAGGGGGAAGCTCACACGCCCTCACTGTGTATTTAGGGAGGAGGGGAAGCTGTGCAGAAGAGATAACTGGCCCCACCCAGGATTCAAGGCCAGTTCAGGCCAACTACCAAAGTAGGGCTCTAACCTTTACCTTAGCTTCCACATCGACACTACCTTTGACATTCTCTCCCCAAGAGGGAGGATGTGGGCTCATCAGGATGGAGACGCCTGCCCTACACAAAAGAGAACACCAGGCATGTCGACATCCTCTGTGTGCTTCGTTATGGAGCCCTGGGCACAGGAGGCTTTGAGGGCTGGGGCATCTGGCTCATTCTAAGAGAGATGAGAGTACTGTTAGCTATGATTCTGGAAGATGCTCTTAGCCTCAAGAACTAGTATAGTGAAGGTGGTGGCTGGGGGCGGGGGGGTGGTGTGATGTGGGATCATAATAAAATCAGAGCCATTATTATTCTAAGATTTCAGGGAAAAAATAGGTCCTCAAGTATATAATACATCTACTTAGGGTAAAATCTCCTTCTTTGCCAATATAACAAGATTTACCTTTAATATTTTTCAAGGTCTGGCACATCTAACCCATAACATCTATAAAATCCTTTACTTCTTTCACAGGATTTTTAGTCTGCTATCCTGGCATCCTCCCAAATAGCAAATTTGCAGGTCAGGGTGCAATCTCCACCCTGCCTGAAGACAGAATTTCTACATGGACGGAGGGCTTTAGTAACAATTAAATCACAAGTTGGGGACTTCAAAGCATTAAGATGGGAAACTTTTTGTTTGTTTCCTTATTCAGTTGAATACACTGCTATCCTTATTTTTTTAAAAGGCAAATGCACAACTTCTTAAAATGGGTATGAAAAAGAACATGACTAGACAGAGAAAACAAGAAGAGATGGCCTAGTTGATAAACTAGGAGGTTCTCTCTGGCCCAAGTCAGCATTTATGATTTTGAGTTCTGGCCCTACTCCCTCATCAATTCAACATTTCCAAATTTGTAAATGCACTGGGGCAGCACCAAGGCTCCTCCTATTCAGGACAGATACAAACCAAGAGACTCCTGGACGAAAAGTAAGACAAAGAGAAGGTTAAAAAACAGCCATTTCACACCTCAATTAAAAAATCCCAGCAAAGGAACCAACCGCTGTAGGCAAACAAGAATATTATCCGAGCAAGAAATATACAAACTACACCTGTACCTGACACGCCGAGAGCCACGTCTGAAGAGGTGAAGAGAGGGGGACAACTGTCCAGTGGCTGAACATAATTCACATCACAAGAAGGGGCCTCACACCTCAATATAATCGCAAGAAATCAGCTACAGATCATTAAAGGGTAGAAAAACAGAAGTTAAACGCACAGGGTGACGATAAGGCAGAAAACCAGCATGTTTCTTTTAGCATTTAATAGACAAAAAACACCCAAATATCATAGCAA